GGGGGGGGGGATGCTTAATTTGGCTGCATGGATGGGAGTCAAGAATTTATTGAACCTTCATCAACAAAGACCAACTTCTTGGAAAAGTTGGAAATCTTATCAGAAAAAGGAAACCCCAATTTCATGTCAATAACAATAGCTTTAGCATGAAGAAGAAAACCCCAATTTCATGTCAAAAACAATAGCTTTAGCATGAAGATTTGACTTTTCCAGCTATATGGGATGATTCGCCCATGTGATTGCCTGACTAAATAGTTCTGTCAGACCTTTATATACATTGTACAGCAGTTCCCTAAAAAATCTAAGCTTTGAAAGTTAAGCACTTGTAGGACATGCGACCAGAGCTTTGATTTACATTGCCAAAGGCTCAAGAATTTGTCAGCATTTGTCTTCCATTATAACTATCCCTTTGCTCATACGAGGGAAAGTGTGAAGGCTTGATATACAGTTTTTTGCCACTAGTCGTAAAGTTTCAGGCTTTTGGGGAAAATTGTGTTTAAAATAAACATAAGAATCATGTGTTCGCAACTAGACGACTAAAATGTTGAACAGGATCACCCACAAAAGGGATTTTATGCAGATTCAATAAATATGATTGCGATTACGTACTATTGGAGAGGCCGAGTTTGCTCATTAGTTCCTCCACTCTTCATAATGCCACCTTGTGAGCAGGTTTTCAATTGCTTTAACATATTTCAACTACTTAACACACATTTGGATAGATAAAAAATTGAAACTACGTGGATGTTATTTTTCCATCTAATATACATATCAATCTAAAATTTCGTAGATGAACAATGTATTCCTGGCTGTTCATTTAGTTGAAAGTAACTTTCTCTTACTTATAGTGAAAAAGACAGTGTATAATTAACATGACAATCATCTGGTGGAGTTACCAAATCCATTGGGCATACTGGACATATCCATCTAATATACATATCAATCTAAAATTTCGTAGATGAACAATGTATTCCTGGCTGTTCATTTAGTAGAAAGTAACTTTCTCTTACTTATAGTGAAAAAGACTGTGTATAATTAACATGACAATCATCTGGTGGAGTTACCAAATCCATTGGGCATACTGGACATATCAATCTAATATACATATCAATCGAAAATTTCGTAGATGAACAATGTATTCCTGGCTGTTCATTTAGTAGAAAGTAACTTTCTCTTACTTGTAGTGAAAAGGACAGTGTATAATTAACATGACAATCGTCTGGTGGAGTTATCAAATCCACTGGGCATACTGGACTCTCACAAAGGGATTTGGTTACCCTATATGAAAGGAAAAAAATAAGGTTAAGAAAAAATGTGCATAAAGAAGTATGTTAATGATAAATTCATACAACCATCAGCATTGCACAAGGACAAATTAAAAGTTTAATCTCACATGCTTCTACTGTTATCATCATCCAAGGGAGCCTGAAGTAAAGACTCTGGCCCAACCTGTAAAGTACAAGATGTTGCGTGAATTAAGCAAAACCTGAGCACAGTAATAGCTTAGAAAGCAAAAGGGCCATTAGCAAACTAACAAAAGCAATAGAGAACAAGAAAATATGATAAGCAGATTCAAGCAGAATCACAAGACAGTGTCAGCACTTTCCTTTAGACCAACAAGACGTCTGATATTTCTAGAACAGTCTTCCGAAGCCTTTGATATTTCTAGAACAGTCAATGGATGTTTCATTTACTCTGTTCTTTAATGCTCTTCCACAGAGAAGCCATTCAAAACCCTTAGAAGGGCCCCCAATACTCTAGTTGCCACTAGTGTTTTTTTAACAAACTATAGCACCAACCTACTTAAGAAACCTTATTATGCAGGAGTAAACACAGAGTCCAATCCAACAAGGCACCAAGACTCAGTTTTGACACGTGCATACAAGGTATGCATGCTAAGACGGATGGATTGGGTACAGAACATAACAATAGGCTTCTTTGACGCAAATTGCATGCCATGGGTCTCTCTCCACATTCTCAACTTTGACCATTGCACCAAACAAAGGCCCAATTTAAAGCTCATCTTAAAACTATAAAGTGAACACCTAAAAAGATCACATGTTCTAGAAACAAAAAAGTAGTAAAATCAAATCAACCAAATTACTATCTTACAGTTACGTTATAAAATTGTGATAAGGAAAGTCGCTGCCCTTTGATTGCATCACCCGGACCTGTCAACTTCAAAAACCCCTGACCATAAACAGCCAAATTTGCATTCGAACTAATGACGGAGTTTTCCTGCAAAAACCGGAGGAGTTATAACCAAATTTTCGAAGTCTAAATTCGCCATATGACAAAAATCTTTCTGTAGTATATATATGGCAGAGGTTCAAGTGGTTGTACCTTTAGAACAATAAGATTCCTCACTTCAAGGACAGAAGTAGTAACGACAGTATTTCCGCCACCATCAACTAGGATCTTGGAGTTCAACATGAGTAACATTTTAATAGCTACTCTTAATGCACCATAAACCTTAAATTAACAGAGAAGAAATATATAAGACCACAAATAGAGTTGGCATAGACTTCTACAAAATTTGAAATATTAACTATCAGAACCTACCCTTAGAGGAAGACAAAAAAATAAAAANGAAACATTCCTAGATTCTTTCCCATCTTTTTCTATTCTTAGTTCAGTCACTGTTCATTGTTAGTGGTCAGATCTCCAAAACAACTTCCAACTCCTCTCCAAGCTCTACTACACTAGGCCCTAGTCAACCCTATACCTTTTCTATATTATTTCTTTTGAACTTTCTGGACTTCGGTTCAAGACTTTGGTTCAACACCAAGAACATTTGAAATGCTTCCTGTCTGTCACTCCAAGAATTAAAGGTGAAATTTTCGGCAATGACACTTTTAAATACTGAGCATTTAAACTCCTCATCCACAAAATCCATAATATTGCTTCAGTCCTTTTAATAATAAACCTAGTACCTTTCAACAACCTCAAACTAGTATTAAAGCAACTGTTGATAGTCCTGCATCAGTTTGTTACCAAAAGCATTATATACTGACTTTCAACTTCCGGTGCAAAATATAGGCAAGAAAATTCCATACCTTTATGATGGAATTGCTCATTAGAAGTTCCTCTGCAACAAGCTCAAATTCAGAGATTGGATACTCAGTCAACCCAAAGATTATGCTGCCCCCACAAAGTATACTAATTTGGCCTCGAACCTTTACAAAAAAAGAGTTTAACAAAATATTAATAACTTGTCCTTGGGTAAAGCATTAAGGAACATACCTCATCACAAAGACTACAACAGAAATATTAAAGCATTTGAAACAGTAGGCAATGTAGAAAAAGAAAAGAAATAATATAGAAAAATATTAGATTAAAAATATATTAGATTGCATTGGCTTTAGTGAGTTCCTGTATCAAAACATCTGAAACATGATAGTCAAATCTGTGTATGTATTTGATTATATTTGTCATAAAACTTCAGTCATTAATTTCTTTCTTTTTTTTTGATAGAAAACAAGATATATTATCAAAGTAAATAAATAGAGTAAAAATATAGGAGAAGACAAGGAGTCCTATAAAGATCCATAAAGAAAGGAAAAAGAAGAGCCTAAACAAGGGTAAAACGAAATAAAAATAATACTATGGAATAATTATATGCCAACACTATTCACACATTTCGGCCCAATGATCCTATTTAGAACTCCATCTCTAATGACCTTCCCAGGATACTATTTTATTTCCTTTATGTATGGGGATCCATATAGCCCTCGATTTATGTGTTATTTATCCATTCCTACTATGTGATAACCTAAATATGAATTTTGAAATGCATGAAAAACAATACATGTAATAAGATGCACGACAAAAAAAAAATCTCCAACTTCACCAAAAATAAAATAAACTCTTTATATCAAACATTTAAAACCAGGGTTTGACATATTCCCAACATACAATATTTCACTGCATCAATTATCTAAAGCACACATTTTTACAATAGTGCAGATGTTAACAACTAATCTAACATGGTAATGAAATAAAGAGGTCAAAGAAGTTTCTCTGTCTTTTACAGGTTCCAAGTTTCATCTTACAAATTTTAAAGATTTTACAATTTTTTTCATGTTTCAAGTTCATTTGAAATGGAATGAAAATGCCTGCAAACACTTTTAGACATAGGGAAAAAGAGAAAGATGTGGGAGCAAAAGAAGTATAGTAATAGATTCCATCTCCTATAAAGTATGTAATAATGAAGTGGATTAGAATCTAAGAACCACGCAACAAAGATACTTGCATAGTTGCAAGGACAATACACTTTAAATGTGTTTTCAATTCTAATGTACCCAAATATAACAATATGATTTCTCAAGATAAACAAAGAAGAACATGGATTCAAAAATGTTGGCAAAACACCAACAAACAAATGGTTTGATAATTACCCCATGTAACAAATTTCAATAACCACCCATCCATGTAATGTGATAACTACCACATGTAAAAAATGAGGTTCTCTTTATCTATTTTCTAAGTTTTCTGCTGGACGGTGATACTACGTGGCACCACTGACGTGGTGTAACCATTACATTGAATATTTTCTCACTCATTAAAGGTATCCAACCTAAAACCAATTGGCAATAGGTGGAGAGGCTCCTCAATGCTATAAACCAATCTTCATTGTACAAGGCCCAGTATCGGCCATCGGCTCAGAGAACAATAAGATAAATCGGTTGAGAGATCGTGGAATGACATTGGGCAATTTGCATGAAATGATAGGTAGAAGAAGTTACATATTGTAAAAGATTAATGCTATATCGCAATGTCTAGGAAGTTGGTATTCAATAATGATGTCTCGGACAACTTGGCCAAGTTGTCAGAGACATCTCCAAGTCAATCATGGGATGAGTAGACTTGTTGTATACATAGGACATGTATAGGTTTCCGAGCGGAAGGTGTTGTTCTGACTTCAGAGTCGTATCGTTATTGACCAATGTTTTGCATTGTCACATCAGGTCAGCCACATCTTTTGATGTGGAATACAAGCTTTCTTCAAAAAAGGTCCCAATAGTCGAGTTCCTCAAAAGCAACTAGTCAATCAATGTGAGCAACAGACAAAGATACAAATGTATAGTCCAAATGATGAGATTTTTTAATAGTCTTGAGATGCAATCATCCAAATGAAATACAATGGTTTCACCATTGTAGGAATACCAAGAAACACACATTTCAAGAGAGAGAGAGAGAGAGATCAAATACCCGTGCCAATAACTTTTATGGCTTGTAAAGTAAACATGAAACTTTTAATCTTATCATGAATATTCAAATACACAAACATGTATACTGCATGAAGAATATGACGACCTGAACTCTGGTCCAAAGTAGGGGCACCAGAACTTTTGCATTGTTCTCCACATAAACATTTGACCACAGAGGGCTAGTAGAAAAATCCAGCAAAGGAGTTTCTGTTTCCGTGGTTATGTTGTCATTTCCAACTCTTAAACTCAGAACAGATGCGTCGAAATAAGTACCTGCTGCTCCAGCATTCAAAGGGCAGCCAATACTTGGACCACCTGCCATGGTGAAAATATATCATATTGCTGGATACCTAACCATCAAAAAGTTTGATCTCCACATAAAACCTAAGAGCATAAACTCTAGGTAGACGACCTTTTATTCTAAACAGTGAAACGAAATAAGCATATAAACAATTTTCCTTTTTTGGGATAGGAACTGTAACTTCATCTAAACCAAAACGTCATGTTGTTATAGTAAGGTAAAAGAGTAAGCGTCTACACTATTGGCTTCCAATTTCATAATGGGCTAGCCATAACATGACGTCCATAAATTATCAGTGGGATACCGGTCGAACTTCTTACCTAAGGTTGGATGTTCGAATCTTGGAGTCCACATTGGGGCTCGGTGGTTGACTGCTATGCTAGCCTATCTAGGTTCATTCCCGAGTGGAGTAACGGACGCGGTCAGGGGCCTCGTGATCCCACTAGTGAGGGCACATCAGGGAGGTCTCCGGGTGCTCTCCTTTGCCCCCACCCTTTTTAAAAAAAATCGAAGTCAAGAAGGAAAATGAAAGTTATTTCCCAACAAGTGTGCCATGCCTTGGATTCGTCAGAGATTAAGTAGTAATCTTCAGAATCTCATTTAAGTTATTGAATTAGCTTTTTACATTGCATCATTAGGTTGGTAAACAACCTACATTGAAATAAAAAAAAATCAGTTTGAATCCCCCTACCCCCTTTGTGTTTACTTATGGTGATTTTCTGGCAATCACTTCAGCAAAGGTGTTAGTTTTTCGGCAATTCCACAGCCATTATTGGGGCATAATCAACCAAGGGTGAGATTCACATGAAATTAGCAGTTAAGTTCAGGTAGAAACAGCAGTTTGGGTGCAACTACAAGAAACCCTACATTAGAGAGGCCAGGGGGTCCTTTGTGCAAGTGAGAAACCCCATAGAAAAATCATTTTCTACACCAATAGCTAAAAGCTAATTGGAAGAACCATACATAGACAAATGCCAATCTGCAAAGCTAGTTATCACTGGTCCATATTAAACAAGCAAGTGATCAGTGCTTTACACATATTAAACATATGGATGGGCATATTGCCATATTGATTGAAAAAATGTCAAACAATTGAGGTTAGAGCTTCTAGTGACAAGACTAAACGACCAATGTGGCTAGCTCACCCCCAATGTGCAAAGGTACGAGAAAAATATATTACTCCTATTTTATGGAATCAAAAAAAGAAATAATAAAGTTCAAAGAGGAGTTATTCAAGTTAGATGAATAGGACTTGAAGCACAACTGTAAAAATTTATTCCGAATATCCAAATATTCATTGTTTGTCATTTGTTGGAAATGCCAATAGGTTGTAGCATTCTAAATCAACTTCTTTGTCATCTTCCTTGCTCATCTTGATTTTTTATCAATGTCAATATGTCATTACTCTGTTTGTTAACTATAAAAAGAAGCATTAATATCATTTCATCAAAGTGCATAATCCATCTCGCCACATGTTGGCTACAGTTTGATGGTAAAACAACTCAACCGAGTCACATCAATACGAGGTAAATAGTCTGCCAAGATGTCTAACTCCTCCCAAGCTTTCCAGTAACTATCATGCATACCTTAAACCTCATTTATTTGTCATTAAAGAAGATAAAATATTCAGCCAAGTAAAATTTTGTCCAGATTTATGTAGATGAACATTGTTATCCCTAAATAACAGTTCTAAATGTGCAACCATTTAGTTATAAAAACAAGATGAGTCTCTTACATAAAAATGAAACATTTAGCAGTTCAATAAGTAATTGTTGCTTTTACTAGAAACTGCCAAATACGGGTGCTATCATTACCAACCATGCAAAGTGACTTTTACATCTTCTTGTTTGCTGTAACAGTTCAGTGAGATCCTTCCGCCTCCGCCTCCACCCCATCCCCTCCCACCAGCTGCACTTATAGTGCCGAAGCCCTTCCTATCCAGCAGAACCAAGGTGAAAATAATCAGTGTTAAACTCTTTCATATAGCCTGTCCATTATTGATCTCGAATTAATTTCAATGCCCAAACCAAATACGATTGCAGATAATAGTATAAAATTTCAGCAGCTTTCTCAAGTGAAACAGAGGAAATGTGTAATTTTGAATATAGAACAAACAAATTCAACAAACAGAATAGCATCATTTGTTATCTTTGCACCATTAAAGCATACTAGAAGACAATGACAGAAGGTCCAAATACTAGCTTAAATGTATGAATGTTTCAAAGATATTCAATTAAAGCATAGAAAACTTGACAAAAAGTCCTGATATGTGCTAACGACAAGACCCTTACTCATTACCTGACACCCCCACCCCCCAAAATACCCATCCTTAATTGAAAATTAGAAAAAAACTGTTCATTTTATGTTCACCTTAAAAGAGGTTGGCAGAAGGCCAAAACTCAAATGCATCAATAACACATAAATGATCTCAGAAAAAAATCAGCAGGGAAGAAAAAGGCTTGCAACTAGAGGGGTGCAACTATCAGAAAATCCGACTTGTCGGAGGAAAAACTTAAGACTTTGATCAGAGTCGGAGTCGAAGTCGGAGTTTGAAATCCTTTCGGAAAAAACTTCAACTCTAAATCCGAATTTTATTAGTTAATAATAATTTTATTTAATTATAAATTACATATTACGTTATTATTAGTTTTAAAACCCAGCCACTTGGCCCATTTTGCAAACTAATATGTTATAAATTACAAATTACATAATATGTTATTATAAATTATAAAGGACATAATGTATTATAAATAATGTTGAAAGCCTAGCTCATCTCATATTCTCGGCACATTTGAGCCTTCGGCCCTCCACAACTCCATCCTCCAAACTCCAACTAAGTAGAAGAGCAACAAATTGGTTCCAACCTCTCTCTCTCTCTCCCTCTCTCTCTCAGTTGACTTCATTCGGAAGTCCTAGTTTTTCAATATTTTTACCCTAAATCCCAAATTTTGAACCAAATCTGATTTTGAAGGTCTTAATGAAGCTTTCACGATTTTACATGCGACTGCGATTAAGGTTTGCTCAGAGCTCATAAGGTATTTATTCCACCTTGGTTTATAAAACATGTGTGTGTGTGTGTGTGTGTTTATCGTTATGGCGATATATATGTTTTCTAATGTGTTTGAGAAGAAGAGAGAGAATTGTTTATAATTTGAAGCTATTTTGGAAAAATTCCAAAACACACACACAAAATTCCTCGCTTTCTGCAACCTCTAGTTGTAGAAGTTTTTTAGCCTATCGAAATCACAAGTTCGAATCGGCCTTCCTTTTATAGTCAACAAGCTTGACTTATAGCTAATTCCATAGAATTGGGCCACCCTCCTGGGATCAAAAGACAACTCTGCCTCCGCTCTAACTCTGATCGACGAAGTCGAAGGTGAAGTTAATGTAGTTCAAAGTCAGAGTTAGAAGCAAAGTCGGAGGACAAAATTCACTCAAACTGAAGTCGAAGTCGAAGTTCGAATACATGCTCACCCTACTTGCAACTTGCACCAAATTGAATAAGCTAACTTTTTTTGGCATAATCTGAAGTCTCTGCTCATAAATATTTTAAAATAACCACCGGCATAGGTTTCAACATTTCCAAAAATTGATATCTTATAACTACCAATTCTCAAATCCTTGCATAAGCATATATTTTCCTATCTTGTACTTTTTTATATCAAGAGGTTATTAAAAAAATTTATCAAAATAATCGAATATGACATTTAAGAACACATGGATCATTTTGATTCATAACTTCGTGGCAATAGCATATCTTGAAAACAGTTGTTATGAAAATATCAAAAAAAGGCAAATAGCTATGGGAGAAAACATTTCAAAGAGTTTTGTCGAGAATTTTTATTACTTGTATATGTTTTTTTTCATGTTTTTATACAGGGTGCCAGTGGTTCAGTGGTTAAAATTTGACCCAATAATCTTGAGGTCTTGGTTTGGATTAGAGGACGACCACTTGGTGCAAATGATGCAAAAATTAGGACTGCACCCAATCTATTTCTTCAAGACCCTAATCATAGGGATTTATCTGGTTGCCTTTTTAGGTATAATTTTTTCCTAGCTCCTTTTGTACAGAATACACATCATGTCTACATGGGTTGCTTTCCCTTTCACAGCTTTACCCTGTATCCATTTTTTATTATGCTCAACTTGAAAAAGGTATTGTTAGAAGGCCCTAATATAATTAAAGCAGGTTGAGTATGGTCTGTTATTCTTCTTTTCTTTATTCAGTTGTGGACCTGTGGTGCTATTATAGAAATTACAAGGCAAAACATCACAATTACTACTATACTTTTTAAGTGAAAAGTTATTCTTGAACAAAATTCTGCAAACTACCTAACTAGCTTGAAGATAATTCACATTTGGCTCCCTTTCTTAACTCAGTTAACATCATTTATAACAATGAACTTTTCAACAAATTACTAACAAAACTGGACAACAAAGGTGCCAATTGGTAGATAATGATTTCAATATCACAAATGAAGAACTAAGGCAATAGAGACATTAAGACGATAAGAAATCTGGTTGGGAAACAAATTGGATAAACTTTCTGGCCAAAGTCACAAGGACATAACTAGTTTGGAAGTTTTGTAGTGATCCAGTGTATTGAGTATGTTATAATAAAGAATTGTAACTAGACTTGGCTAAAGTATAGCATTAATATTTCATAATTTTTGGGATTTTTTTTGTTAGGCATTGTGAGCATATGTTTGTATACTTTCAAGACTTTACTAGGTCCAAGTTTTCTAGTCAAACACGGACATCAACAATGTAGAGGCGACCAAGTTTTCTTACCCACAAGTGTCCTTGGCTTCTAAGCTATGACACTATATATATCTTTGAATTAGCTTTCTTAAGAGGTAGTGAATGAAACAATCTCGAGGCAATTAATTAAGATTTTTTCACATCTCTTGGTTGTGATCCCTACAACCTAGGTTGATATCTACTGTGGTGACTCTTATTCGTCTAGAGTTGTGAAGCATGGACACGATCACGGGACACGGATACGATACAACACTGACACATAGATACGATATTTTCAAAAAATAGTAGGACACAAACACGTTGGGGACGCTCTACAAATAATTGTGTTTTATATATAAAATTATATAGTTTCTTACAAATATAGTGATAATGATGTTATTTATAAAAAAAATCAGTACTTCATGATAATTAAAAGTTATGTCTAATCATCTAGTGTGCATTTTTAAACTAACATCATAATAGTCAATGATCATTAATTTTTTCGTAGACTTGAACCAACCATTTATAAATTTAAATGATTGCTCTTATTTTTTCAATTCCTCCTTTCTAAATCTTTTATGTATTTTTTATTTTTATTACTATATTTTAAGTATAATTTTAACATGTCTAACCTTGGTAATTATATGTTCTCTATTAATATGAGATACTTATTAGTCAATTTTTTAAACTTTGTTAATCACATGCCAACACATGTTTATTGTTTAGTCGTAGACAAATTTTAANTATGATAGTCTTATATCATTTGATCATTTTTTTTTGTCAGGTGTTTAGTACGCAATGAATACCTTTTTCATTTTCGTCACTTTAGAAATGGTCAATTGATTTGAGATAGAATATGAAAATAAAATCTATCATTGACNTTTTTGTCAGGTGTTTAGTACGCAATGAATACCTTTTTCATTTTCGTCACCTTAGAAATGGTCAATTGATTTGAGATAGAATATGAAAATAAAATCTATCATTGACACTTAAAATCTCAAATTTAATATAAAAAATTTAGAGAAATAACAAAGTATTAGTGTTGAGGCTATATACTTTGATTCTAGCTTTATCCGACATACATGATTATAATAAATTTATTTATTTGACACCTACGGTTGATGAAAGAAATCAATTAAAATGGTATTAATATTCTTTTTATAATTAAAAATTTAAAGAATAATCCGAATATTTAGGTTGACATTATCATGATTTGTGAAAATTTAGTTTTGAAAGTGAGACAAAATTCTAGTATATTCAAAAAAAAATGGCAAAACCGAAAATAGAACAAGAATGGGGGTCATTCATTGTGGAGACAAATAGGCAATAGCGATCCCACATTCCCCGCTCGCTCTACCTGCTCACCTTCGTCCGTGCTTTTATTCTTGTCGTTTACCTTTCACTTTCTTTTTAAAATTTTTTTATTTCCAAAAACGAAAAGAAAAAATATGTCACTGCCACGTGCCATGCTCACTTGGCACGTGTGCAGTCACGTGTTTAGTGCCGAAGACTGCGAGCAGTGGCATCTCATTTCAACCTCTTCCCCCGCCTCCCCTTCTCTGTCTTTCCCTCTTTTAGGTCCGTTGGAATAGAAAAAAAAAATTATGACAAATCAAAATGGTAGTAAGTTAAATAAAAGAAAAAAAATAATAAAAATATATTTTCATGCATATATTTAGTTAGCATAAAAAAACTTATGAGAAATCTTTAAAAAAATTTCATTCTATTATTTAAAAGAAAGGAAAGTTACAAGAATTTTTTTTTAATTGTATAAATTATTTTTAATTATATTAAATTAGTCTAAAGAAGAAAAAATATATATATTATAATTGAAGTTAAAATAAAAAAAAATAAAAAAAGTAGTTCATAACCTAATTCTAGGATAAGCACCAGAACAAAAGTCTTTGAGCCAAATCATATGATTAACTAAATTCATATTAAGATATTTAAAATTAATAACTAATAAAATATTTTAATTTTAAGAAAAATAAGAGTAAAATAAAAAGTTAATTATAGATCACAACTTTCTTACATTTTTTATAAGAAAAAAAGGTGATTAGTTGTGAGAAAATTTAAGCATGAAAGAAAATTATTTTTCTATCATTTTTGATTTTATGCTAAGCAAACAATTAAAATTTTAAAAAATTTGTCTTTCTTGCATTTTCTATAATTATCACTACCAATGAGCTTTTGGTTCAATAATACTTCTTGTTTTATAAA